TTCCGCCGGCACAACAGCGCATGCGAGATCTTGCGAAAACAGCGCGCGAAGAAGGTATGGATCAAGTTGGGCAGATCGCTGTCAAGACCAATTTCCCCGCGGATCGCGCCAACGACTGCGCCCACGAACAGCAGGTGGTTGACGCAGTGGCCTCTTGCTCTGCTGAAGCGTATGCAGCCACAGCAGAGTTAATCGCCAGCGACGATCACCATGACCCCGATTACAGCCTCATCAGGTGTCCGGCTGTCTTTGTGGCTGGTGACAAGGACATGATTAGCCCGCCGCAGAGGTCAAAGGATATCAGCAGTTTGGTTGGAGGGCCTTCTGAAGTTGTAGTGGTCAAAAGCGGTCATCAGATGATTCTGCAGGATGTTGAGGGCGTGGCAAAGGCAATCGATAGGTTGCTTGCGATATTGTGAGCGGGCAATGGTTTCTGCTTGGGCGAGGATGAAGCCCAAAAGGGGAAACAGCCAGGTACGGCTTGGCGGAAAAATACGGCGAACTAGTAATATTTGCGGCATCAATATCGAGCACTTCTCCGTAGAATATCGTATCCCGTGACAGAGATCACGTGTACACCCGAGTCGCCGGACCCCTCAAAAGCGGCGGCAGCGACCAGCGCTGTTGTGGTGTGACGTGTTGGCGTTGGACAGTTGAGGCGGCAAGCAAGCGCCCGCCAAGCCTGTCAAACCGAGACCTCGAGCCTCAGCTTAAATCCCATCCGCAGTCGCCTCCTTCGTGCTTCCTTCACAATCACCCATACAAGTACAACCACCCGCCAACTTCGGCATCTGTCGAGACTCTCCCGCTCGTTGATTCTCCATGCCAGTATCTCCGGACTTTTCACTACCGCTTTGGACAAGTTCGATCTCACGCTGAGATCTTGCGCCTGAAAGCCCAGTGGCGCCTCCCGTCAAGCCGCGTTGTGCAGCTGACCGCTTGCCCAATTCTGTGAAGGCTGTAGCGACCATCACCTGGGAGCACTCCGTACAGGCTGGCATATTACTTGTTCCATTTCGTCTGTTGTTCAACTGATTGCTATCTGTTAGAGACCACGTTCCCCCCTTCTCCTATGTTTCGAGCCCATTGTTCGGTTTCCCCCCTGTAGGTTGAGAGTGAGATGGCAAGAGTCAAGCAGAAAGTGGCCAAGAAGGGAGCTGCGGGCGCCTCAACCCGAGGTAGCCAGGTGGCCAAGCAGAAAAGACACAAAATCGCAATTGGAGGAAACCCCCAGGAGAAAAAACTTCCCACTGTGGTAAGAGCAAAATCAGCTTGTGAAGCTGTAGAACCAGTGCTTATGACCTGGACAAGATCTCATTCCAAGAGCGTCCCCCCGCTGGATACACTTTCATTCCCGCCGGCAACCCCGAACTCACCAACGCGTTGAAGGAGTTTGCACGCCGAGGGGACCACAAGATCTACGCCGTAACGGTAAGCCCGCCACCGTTTTTATGGCGTCCACGCGTGCCTCACTGACTTTCAAGATCACTCCACATGCTGCACGCCATGAGCTGTCGAGGGAAGTACATCGTGTCGGCTTCCATTTCCCCACAAGGATTGTCGACCAAGTTTGCGCCCACTACGGCATCCGCCTCAACAGCGAAGGAAAGGTCATCGACGAATCGAATGACGAGACATTCTTTAGCAAAGTTTACCGCAACACAGATGGTCAACGTCCAGTAGAAGAGAAGGATCAGGTCACCATCAATACTGATGCCAAACAGACCATCAAAGATCTATTTCCCAACATTCCCAACAATGATTTGTATCAGATCATCAAAACCGCGTTTCAACTGGGTGATCGCAGGGTTGGTACTGCGAACGAACTGCCTCTCGTTCGAAGAGCCCAGCTCTCTGTTGTTGCTCACATTCGCCACAACTACACTCAGTATGACAAGTTGTTGAGACAAATGCCGTACAACGAGGCTCGTCATATGGTGGAAAAGGAGACTCTCATAAAGCTTATTGAGTGGCGCGGTGGTGAAGACACCACCCTCGAAAGCGCCACAGGTGCCGAAAATGATCTGCTTAAAGAGGTCATTGTCATCTCTGACGAGGAAGCCTCTGAGAGTGATTCAGACAATGTCGAACCCTTGGGCCAAGACCGTGTTCAGGTTGAAGAACTGGCAAGCACTTCCTACGGTCCCGGCTCTGGTCGTCCCATTTCCCCTTGGCCCGAACTGGAGCGCGAACGAATTTTGGAATATCCACCGGCAGTTCGCGGCTACAGACCATCCGATGCTGAGATTGCCCGACGAAATCAAAGCAGATATGATGTCTGGGAACAAGCGAAGCGAGATTATCGCTCCAGCATCGCGCAGAGGCCCGTCGCGGTTTTGGAGAGAATCTACGAGCCTGCATCAGCTCCACCTCCACGCGTTCTCGTCCCTCTTGACCCTCCAACCCACTCATCTGCCCAGATATTTCACACTCAAGCTCCTCCTACAAGCATTGCAAGAGCGGATTATGACGTAAGAGCGATTCCCATGAATCTCTGACCGTTGTCTGTCAACAGGCGGACATTATGCTGTGTTCACTGACCTTCTCGGCAGCCACCAAGTCGCAGTCGCCAACCGAGCCCGCCCACGTACATCAGAGATGCGAATGGCATTTTGTATGAACGGATCGATACTCGGCCCCATCCAGACACACCACAGCGCTATCAAAGGAAACTGGCACCGCCTGCCGCCGGAACGCAAGTCAGAACACGACCTCCTTCGCCTCAAGACTTCGCCCGTCAAGACTCTCGCAATGGAACCCTTGAGAGAGGCAATAGTACGATATTACCATCGATTGAAGGACCTGACGGATCGTATATGTCTCCCCGGCTTCGTCGGAATCCGTTTGAAGCACATTCTGAGCCTCGTGACACTAACCCAGGACGAGAAGACGGCCGCAATGTCAGGGATGTTGCCTATATTGACTTGACCCACAGCTCCAGCCAAACACCTAAGAGACGGCGATTGGAAGAGGTGCCACCAATCCAAGAACGCCGCCCGAACAGAAGAGAGTCTCCTGGCAGGCCTGTTGAACATCGCTACATCCCGCAGCCTCAGCTGGTGGCTGCTCGTACTGAGAATCGCGCAGCTGATTATGGTGAGCCACGACCCAGCCCACGTCCACAACCGGCGATTCATGTCCGGGACCACGCCTATGTTGACCGTCAAGCCCGCTACGATGCTTTTGATTCTACGCACTCTGTTGTACGTCTCTATGAGCCCGTGCCTGCTGTTCATGAACTACGTGAGACGACCACGATGCAGCGTCGTTACCACTCACAGAATTACACCGCGACTAGTGGCAATGAGGTTGAATCGATTCGACCAACTCGGGATCTGGGAAAGCAACCATTGCTTCCACTAGGTCAGGTCTACGAGTCCATTGACGGGTCTCGCGCATATGACAGCAGGGTTGCTCGGGAGCAGGACATGCTCGTGCCTGAACAATATGTGCAACCTATAATGCAAGAATCTCGTGTGCGGTACATTTATCCTGACGGATCCCATGGCCGTGAACCTTTACAATCTTTACCTCCACAGCGTATGCCTGAGTATGATCGGCCAACAGCGCCTCTCCATTCGTATGCACGCTGAACCGGAACATTTCAATCGCCATCTCTTTGCGCGGACCACCAAGCACATTTGTCACAGGAGCTTCGGGACGACGGTAAGATTTGAAGGCAGAAATTTGCTTGAACATGCATTCCCTGCCTTGTTCTCCACTAGCAATGCTGATACTTGGTCCAGGTACGGTCACGATACGACGGTGGTCCTGACGAATGCTCAACATGTCCATCCACACACCCTTTTGTAGAAGTACCTCTACTCCGTCACGACTACGTTGCTCCACTATCAATGTCAAAAGTATTGTTTCCGTTCATTCAATTCCAACTACAGATGAGTGGGTAGCATCTGCATAATTCTAACATGGCGACGGAGTGTTTTGTCGGCTTTCAATTGACGACTGCCAATGGACCACGGCCAGCACTATCAGTTTCTTGTAATGTTATACTTGATCGAGATACCCACATTTCGGAACCACTGGATCACGATGGGAGGTATTCAGAACGGAGCACAGGCGGAGCATTGCTCGGGATCCTCGTTCACATTTCCGTGAAGTGATAGAATACTCTGCCGCCGGGCTCTTTTTCCAGGCTCCAATTGATATTGAAGCGCGGGTGTGGAAGCTGCCACAATGCAGAAGACTTTCCTATAGGACTCGATGATCGCGAGACTCAATATGAGGATGTTGAAGGTTTCATTTTCTTGCTAGTTGTTTTATTCATGCCCACTTTCAGGTCGAATTTCATCCTACACCGGCCCCATGACGACCAGGATATACAGTTGGAAGATTTAAGCGGCGTAGCAACCCATCGTTGTACTGCCACTTTGGTCACGAACATTTCTGTACTTCTCCTGTTATTTAAGGTGCATCCACAGCTTCCCCACCGAACAACACAATAGACGTATAGTGCTTTCTTTTCCTTCTGAGACTAGAGGGGTAATAGCTAAGATAGATCGGAAAGGGGATATGGTCCGTCGCTAATTAGATTGTACTTGTAGGCCGAGCGAGGAGGGAACGACTACGCTTCAACGCAGGTTGCAAGGAAACTTCCAGCCGAAATTGGTGGTCGGTGCCGCCGCTTTTGGAGGGGTTTTTCCCCTTCGATGCCAAGGTCGCTCCTCTGGTCCCCTCCAGACATTAGCCTTCATGCTCCTCGAGCATCCACCACGCAACCATTCAACCATCACTTGGGACTAGAAACAGTCCCCTTCCAGAATCAGTAAGGGATCGGTCCGACTCCTCGAGAGCATCGGGTGTCTTTGACCGCACCACTCTGACCATGGCGCCTCGAAGACCTGGAAGAATTGTCAGCGTAGACAACCTCACCGCCACAGGGAGGACATTATCCGCACTCCTAGCTTTGATAAGTGGACCGGACGCCGACCAGTCTTTATCATTTTCCTTGTACATATGTAGCTACTGTCGATTGACCTTACCTACCTAGCAATAATATATCTCTCCAACAAGAAGTCAGTACTCTCTAAATCTCGGATGAGCACGGTCTTTCGTTGGGCCCGGGAACTTTGTTCCCCTCCCTCTGTATTATTTTCATTCTCCTCTTGCATTTCACTCGACGTGGTATCATTTGCGGCCACTGCCCCAGCCGGGTTGGGGTTGGGGGGTCCCGTGTCCTGTGGCAAATATCCTAGGATCTCCACAGTCGTTGCTTCACCTTTTTGGACTATCTGCAGCTCTCCATCTCCCACAAGTGCCTGGAGGAAGAACTTGGGCGCAAATGCTTCGGGGTTATCCCATTCCGCTACCGCCAGTGTCCGCTCCAGATGTTGTCGGTAATAACCTCTGGCTACTCCCAGCCTGCCCTGGAGCAAGACCGTTGCCGCTAGGTCGCCAAGCACTGCCCTCGATTCCGAGTGCCACGGGCTCAGCGTGAAGTCGCATACCGCAAGCGCTATCCCATATAATATATGGGCTTTTTGTGTGTTGCCTGCTAACCGGAATGCTCTCGCGAGATGTGTTAAGCTGCGCCGAGTATCGACGTGGCAAGGACCCAGTGATTCCCTCCTGCGTCCTAATAGACTCCAGTGAATTTGCTGAGCTGCTGAGAAACGTCCCTGTTCTTCGAATTCGAGACCTCGCTCTTCCATGCTCTTCATGACCACGGGATCTTCGCATCGCCAAACGCTCTGATCCAGTCTTTGAAGCCATGATCTTTTTAGCCCGTTCCGGACGGGTGGCTGGCGGACAGTGTGCGCAGGTGTCGTGGTCCGTGGCTGGTTTGCCATCTGCAGAGTGGCCTCTAGTGGCTGGAATTTCCATTTACAATAGATGTTGAAATGTCCCCGTTTCTGTTCCAACGTTGCCAGCTTGTGCCGGAGTGCGACTGGTGTATCAGGTCGAGCCATGTCTCGTCGGCATTGTGCCAGTGCTTTTTCATACTGCTCTTGGTACTCTAAGTTGACAGATAGATCATGAGAGTTGACCATATCGTCGAGGGTTGCCAGAGCCTGCCGGTGCAAACCTTCTGCTATCTTATACTCTCCTGCGCGGTCGTATGCTCTCGCAATTTCTCCTACACCTGCATTATCAAAACACTCGTCCGCTCGCCGCAGTGCTTTTTCAAGCCGCATTTCGTAGTCTCCTGCTATGCAAACTTCTGAAACAGAGCAGGGGTTACCATCTTCCACGGGGAGCGGATTAAACTGATAAGTTGTTCCGTTTGCCTCTAGAAACCCTCTTTCCTTGTCGATTTTCACTCCCGCTTCCTGGTGGACGCATGATCGCACTGCCGAGTTGTCGATTGAGTTGAGGATCTGTCGACGTGTATGGATGCTTGGAACAGTCTTGCGCAAGGCGAGGAGGATCTCAAGCCAGGGAATTACCCACTCACGGTCACCTTTGTTAGTACAGTTATAGCGGTACCTATCGAGAACAAGCCTAACACCGTCTCGCCTCATCTGCCGCAGGTGCTTTTCGAAAGGATCGGTACATGGCAGCCCAACAGCCTCTGCTCGGTTGAAGGTAAACGCAGCAACTTCAAAGAGGACCCAAAGACGGGGCCGGAATTCGGGGAATTGCGCCACGAATGCACAATCCCGAACAAGTCTAGGGATGCTTGGTAGAACCCGTGAGAAGTATTGCTGCTGTGGTGCAGTTCGTTCCCACTGCGGAAGACAGGTCCAGTCTACCCAGAGGAAGGTCGATTTACTCCAAAATCCATCGTTGAGCAGTTGTTGCAGTTGCCGCAAGTCCTCCCCATCAGGGTCGGGATGAGACTTTGTTCGCCAGTAATGGCTAATGAATATGCAGTCCTCTGAGTTTGCGAATCCACCGTCTATGGGAAGAAGGACATATCTTTCTAGTGAGTTTGGGTCCCATCTCTGGAGCGTAGTTTGCTGCATGAATGACTCTCGATGTTGGAAGAACCAGACTGGGTTTTCTTTAGCAGTGAGGAGCTCGTCAAGAGATTTCAGGCTCTTGAGGAACGCGGTTTGTTTGACGACCGCTTGCCGAGCAGCGCGGGCTCCACCTCGAGGCAGTATCTCAATGCTACGATTGATTAAAGATTGGAATGAATGGTCCAGAGGGGCATGAGTTGATATACGTCCTAGGTTAACCTTGCTCGTATCGGCATGATGAGGGGGTATGTGCACAGGTGGCTGAGGCGTCAGTTCCGCATTAAGGGGTCCCATCCGTAGCGACATTGCGTTAGAAGCTTCGTAGCAAACGCTCGTCATAATGTGTAGTTCTTTCTCGGCAACTGTCTCTTGCCAGGTGGCTGATATACTATTAGGAAAAGGCTCAGTGGATACCGGGAGACCGTTTTGACGCAGCAGGGCCTTCATTTCCTCTAGATTTGGTGGCAATGGCTCCCTCAACCCGCGGAGGTCATTCAGAATTGCCAAAGTAAGGGCGTGTCTTTCACCCAGACCTCTCTGGCTGCGGTCTAGGGCCAAAGAGAACGTCGAAGACGCTTCGTCAGTCTTGTCCAGTAGCTTAGATATGTTCGCAATGTCGACTAGGACTCGTATCGTCCGCTCGTGCTGTGGCCCCAAGGCCTGTTCGCAGCGCCGCCTCTCCTCGACAAGATGCGCGAGCGACAGCTCGTACTTACCCATGTTACAGAGTTCCTCACATATGGCATCTAGAGTCTCAAGCGTGTAGGCACGGAGGGGTCCAAACACCCTTTCGTTCAAGGGCAGCAACTCTTGGAAAACGCCAAGCGCCTTTTCTACTCTTCCATCCCCGTGGAGCACCCTTCCGAGCTTGAACATGCCTGATAAGGTGAGTGGATGTTCCAAACCGAACCGGCTTTTGTTCTGTTGCACCACTTGCTGGGCCAAACTCACGGCTGCTGCAAATCTACCGCCTCTGATAAATACCGCGACGGCTTCATGCGGCGTCCGCAAGACACTGTTGCTTGCCTCGTGCGACCCGTTCAGGGGAGCGGCGAGGGATGGGTAGCGCATACGTGCACGCGGTTTTGACGCTTTCTGGCCCATGGTTACAGTCAAACTTATCTCGGCGCAGTTGACGAACTGGTGGACTGAGAATGGAAAGTGGAGAACCCGCGTGAGTATTGTAGCTATAGAAGGGGTGAGAACCCTCTTATATCGGCAGAATAGAGATCTGTAGCCTGGCTGCCTAGCACGTGATACTTCCGACACTAACCATACCTACGGTCCACTGTGTGGAGGGATGATACGAGAGCAAAACACGTAGACAAATGGACAACAAACAACACAGTAAGGGAAGGGACCTCCTCTGTAGTTTTGCATTTGTGCATAAGAGACTTCTTGAGGTATCGATTGTGGTATGAACCGTACCTTTTCCTTGTTGTTCATAAAGTTCTCTGTGTTGTGTTGTGCCCGTCTTCTGTCCTTTGAGCAGTTGCTTCTGATCTATATGCATTTTCGCCTGCATTGTGAAGCACTCTCCTGAACTCCTGAAATCGCCTCTTGAGCCCCTGAAAATGGCCATAGAAGGTTTTGTGGTAGTACCACGTGACCTCTTGGCCTAGCCGTATGTACTCGGTATATAGACGTCAAAAGCGGGTGCACCCAACCTGTGACCACGCCTGAAACAATAGGATCCCCTAACCCAAAGGCGGAATTCCCAGCTAAAGGTACAAGTCGAAATTCATCTGTCCCTCTCGATGATTTCATCTACAAGCACTTGTATCCGAGTCGTCCGGTAACGCAACAAGTCTTTGTGACCCCCCGCGTACGCGACGACCTCCAGACAGATGAAGATTCCTCGTGGCGCGGAGAAAAAAGACCTAAGCCTCGGCATTCTAAATCCATCATATTTCCACATACTCTCTGCCTACTTGCTACAAGCATCCGCATAGAGAACCGGTAAGTGAGGGAGTCGGCAAATGATGTGATGGAAGCCAGGGTAAAGTATGCCTGAGCATGCGTAATTCACCCTGAAGTCACTCACTCTCATTCTCGCTCTTCACGGAATTTGCGTCTTTTATTATCACAAGAGGCGAAGCCCAAGCTGGAAGTCAAACTTCGGTCTTGCCTGAAATCACTCTAGCACCAACGGACCTGCTCTTCTCACATGAAGAGACGGGCTACAACAATGACCTGGTTGCGCCATGGCTTGTTCTCGTGTTTCTCTCACTCGACCATTGTCGGGAGAATGTCTTCCTCTGATGTCCGCAATGATGTGGATGGAGACTCACTCTCCAGAACTGACCAAAGTGAACTTTGTCGGCAACCACAAATTACTTTCGACGAGGAGGTAAATGGACGACAAGCTCGCTGAGATAGTCCCTCCCAAAAGTCGGTCGTCCCAAAGTCGCGATTCCATCTCGTGTGTATGCAGCAGCTCTCGGTCGGCATCTGGAATACCAACTGGCTTTCGGACGCTCTTATCCCATGTCACAAACTCTCATGAGCCAAAACAGAGTGGTTCATGAGAAGGAACAGGGCCGGCCAGTGCCCATCTCGAGCATATAAATTTTCCTCTGCTCTGTGCTGAGGATGTATGTCGACAGCTCAACGTCTCTCCAGCGGAGGGCCTCAGCTATGGTGGTGCATTGGCTCGGCTCTAGAGCACGGGCAAAAACATCTTGCGCAGCCTCGGCAACATGACCGGAAAATTTTACTTTCCTATGTCTCGGTGGCTGCTGTTCAGTGCCAACGGTTGCTGTTATTCTCTTTTTCCTCTGTTGGAGGCCGTTAAGGGAAGCCGCCACAGGCATATTACCTCGGGCTGGCCATTCTTATCCTCATTGTCATCTTCCTCCGAGTGTGCTTTTCAGCATTTCAAGCGACGTCGACAAGGAAAACGATGCGGTCGATCTTGGACTTACTGCCATCTGAAGTGCTCGTGCTGCGCGATGGTACTCAGATAAAAATCCCAGCTATGTAGCGAGATGGTTGGCGGCGACATCGTCACCGTCAGCATCGGCAACAAAAGTTCCCGCTGGTGACGAGTTATCGCACTTTAATACCGTCGGCCAAAGCCTCTACTTTGTCACCTTGGTAATATCCCAGTGGCGGAACATCCTCTCTGTCCGCAACAAGCGACTGTACACTCTACAGGCTGATTCGGTCCGAAACACGTTTGATTTTATATAGATCGAGCTGGGAGATTGGTAGTGTGCGCGCCGACGGATGCAAAATAGAGAATTGTTGAACCTCGCCTTCCCCCGCCACGCAAAAGAGTTCTGACTACAAGTAGAGTATGAAAGCATAGGAAATGAAGATAGATATTGGGAAGGAGAGTTGACGAAAATGAGCCGCGGGCCACTGTGGCGATGGCTGGATGAACTGCAACGAACGACGACGACGACGACGACGACGACGACGACTGCCTTCAGTGCGACTGCCCGCCATTTCGTATTAGCTGGGGAACTCTGTCCACCAGCAGTAACTTCCCACCTTAAGAGGCAAAGAAAGGCCGCCTGGGAGAGCTGGGCTGGGCACTACTACCCTTCGGAACTAGATCTGACACGATGTCACGTAAACTCTCACTCCCAGAGCTTGCCCTCCTCGACCTCGATCGCACGGGCTCCAAAAAAGGATTCTCTGCTGAGTGTAGAGGAATTTCTTTCTGGCGCGATTGTTTGCCATCTCAGCGCCATCTGCCTGTCTGGTCATTCGCGTATCTGTCAACGTGAGTTGAAATTTCCATAAGCTGAGCAGCTAAGAAAGATAAAGGGTTGGAATGGAAATCGTCAATTGAGCCAAAATGTTCATTCTGTACTCCGTACACGATCTGCGATTGCCAGAGCATAGGGCACAGGCAAGATAGGTGCTCTCTAACCCACTTCGAAAACGCCCGTCGCCCAGATACAGCCAACCACTGCGAATGCTTATAACTCTGGTGTTTTTCTCCTTCCTTATCCCCTTACTTCCTGTACCACAGCCTTGTAATCTGGGTATGTCTCACTGTTGTCATTGAATTAGTTTGACCACTCTCGATCGAGAAGGGAGATGAAAACCAAACGTACTCTTTTTCTGCAATTGAAAGATGCCGTACATCAACGCCTCACTCGTGGGCGGGCAGCCAGGCACATAAATATCTACAGGGACGATCCGATCACAACCCCTCGTCACGCTGTAGCTGTAGTGATAATAACCTCCACCGTTCGCACAGGATCCCATCGAGATCACCCATCTTGGCTCGGGCATCTGGTCGTACACCTGTCTCAGCGCGGGTGCCATCTTATTGGTGAGGGTGCCTGCCACAATCATCACATCGCTCTGTCTGGGCGACGCGCGAAAGATGATTCCCAGACGATCCTGGTCGTATCGAGGCGTGGAGAGGTGCATCATCTCCACGGCGCAACACGCCAAACCAAAGGTCAGAGGCCACAGTGAACCTTGACGAGCCCAGTTGGCGATCTGATCTAGTGTGGTCAGGGCGAATTGCATAGCGCCCTTTTTCTGCTCCTGCGACGGGAGGGGCACTTCGCGACGAACACCGCCTGTGACGGGAAGTCGTGAGGCATCTCCGCCGGCGGAGGAGGGGGCATGCGAAACGACCGAGGTGGCGGGTTTCGAAGAGGTCGAAGAGATGGAGGCGGCAGGGGCGCCACGGATGAGAGAGTATGGGAGGATGGTTGACGCTGTGTGTCGATTCATCTTGTCAGTCGGGGGGTTTCCGGGAGTTTGTGGCAAAGGGAGTTAGCTTGTCCTCCATACCTCGTAGAGCTCGCGGAGCGACTGTCCTTGACAAAGACATCATCTTGGCCTGCGATGTCGCTCGAAATAAAGAGAGGGGAGACGTGGACGTTGAAAGGGAAAGAATTGAAGGTCGTCGAAGGAAAGGAAGAGGAGACGAAACTGCGTGGTGTCGTGCGGTTGTAGAGAATCTATGATGTCGAATTGCCCGGGCGAATTGCGAGCTTGTCCATTGGCTGGCCTTGGTGCCGGCTAGACAGCGAGATCTGCTTACCCGATCAGGCAATATCTGGGGAAATCTCCTCGTGCAACACTCTATTACTCTATTACTCTCTTGCTCAGGTATAGATTGTTGCTCTCCTCTCCCTATAAGATCGCTCTACAACTGTCGTGCTCCATGGCCCTCAACTCCTCACCGTCGATAGCATGCATCGGCGTCATCGGCAAACACGACCAACCGCTGCACATCTCCCTCTTCCCTCCCCATGACACCGCCCCCAACGCCGACCTCGAATTCCTCTTCCTGCTAAACTCGTGCCTCGACATCTTCGACCTGCGTGCTCGCACCACGAAACTGCTCGACTCAGACCTGGGCCTGCTCCAGGCCATCGACGACCGCCTGTCGTGCTACGGCTGGCTGACGAACACGGGAATCAAGTTTATTATCGTGGTGGACATGATGGGTCGGCCTCCGCCGTCTGCGTCGGACGAAGACACCCCAAAAGATCTGTTGTCCAAGGACAAGAGACGGTTTTTACCTGCAGCCGTCGGCCTGAGAGACGCGGATCTGAAACCCGCCTTCCGAGCCATACAGACCGCATACATCCATCTGATGTTGAATCCTTTCTACACGCCAGATGAGAGGACACCCTTGCAGATTGCAAACTATGGCGGGAAGAGTCCCACAATCACGAGTAAGAAGTTCATTGCGGAGATTCAGAGGATCGGGAGGGCGTGGTATCCAGGTATTGCGAGTATCTGAGAAGAATTCAAGAGACATGAAAGACAAGCAACATTGTTCACCGGCCCCCAATGACCCCAGGAGGACGGAGAGGGATTACCATGACCACCGCCGGAAAGAAACATTAAACCAACAGCCATTCCTCTCTGCTATTTCCAGAACTCAACGAACACTCCTCCTTTGCTTTGGGTTGCCCTCCTTGACGGCAAGCATCACCGCCGTCTCGGCCACCTCGGCTGCTGTCTCGGCGGCCTCCTGCTCCGCTTTGCTCGGCGTCCTAATCAGCGGCACCTCATCCATCTTGGTGTCCGGATCTGCCAGCTTTGCTGCCTCCTCGGACGCCACCGGGTTGTCTGCGGGCGGTGCAGCAACCGCAGCGGGGGCGCCTGTCTCGGTCATACCC